GTAGGTTTATGACATACACAATTGATGAAGTTGGTGATATTTCTTTGGACTACAACATTGAAGCAAAAAGGGGCAAATAGTTATTAGTTTTTATTTCCCAAGTGATTTTTTTTATTTGAATGCAATTTTTTAATGTACTCCTAAAAGGAATTTGGAGCTATTTCTGAAGAGCGACCAGCAAAAGTGACATCGAAATATTTCTCCCAGTAACTATGGTTGTGTAAAGCAGTATTGATAGTAACCGTTTCAGTTTTAGTTATAAACATACTGAATATATTTGAAGATATTGGATTGCGCATAACGTTACACAGATTTCTGCTCAGAGTTTATCCTCCTGGATTGAAAATTAGAATACGTGGTCGAAAAAAATATATACAGTTGTCATAATTGCCACTAGGGATAGCAACACGATTATTGGAATAATTAGAAAGCTATGTCAATGGCTTCTGGAATTGGTACATTAGGACAATGGTTCCCAAATTCTTTTAGTTTGAGGCTCCCTTGATGTGAATGAAAAAGTTTGAGGCTCCCCAACCTATAACTTTAGCATGGTGATTGAAAAACAGTGTCATAGTAAAAACAATAACATCTCCTTTCAATATACTGTATCATTTAATTAATTCAACGTAATTTTTATTGGCTTATTGTTTATTTAGAATTAAAATTAATTCATCATCTTTGTTTTCGGCCCATTTTTTGGCGGCTCCCCAGAAAAAACTTCACAACCCCCTGAGGGGCCGCGGCTCCTACTTTGGGAAACACTGCGATTAGGATATAATGATGTTACGTCGTAAATGATCAGTTTTCTTATAGGATAAAACATTTTTAGACAATCAACAAATTCAAAATATTTTTTCACATTAGTGGAGGCAGAAATTATGTAAGGGGCTATTATTCAAGCCAAGAATTTTCCAAAATTGTAATTAAAATAGTTTGACGAAGACACGATAGTTTGTAACGGGCAACATTCCTAATGAACTATGGGCAAGCCATAGATTTGAGGATTGGTTGTTTATTTGCTGAATTTCACGCAAACTTATTCGAGAGCTATCTGTGCTAGCCGTCCTTAATTTTGAAGTGATAGACTAGATGGAGGGCAGCTAGTCAACACCACCCTCTGCCAACTGTTGTACTACTCTTTACCATCGGATAGTGAGATTGATTGTTACATTATAACAAAGTTCAGTATCTTATTCAGAAACTAGACTGTGTATCTGTAAGGCGTAATTTGATATTTGAGGAATGTTTTAACAACACAATAAAAGGACTGAAAGACTTACCACATTCAAACTGTCAATTTATTCTTAATGTTAAACTCATTTATTACTGAATTCCGTTTATTCCATTAGATTAAACTGCCATTAAGAAAACTTGAGACAATAACGCTAACAAATATTATATATATGACAGACACTTAAATTCATTACAAAACCAGATTGAAAACTATCCAGCTTGATTTTGGATGTATTTACCAAGTTTTTGTCTATATTATTACATAGAGGAAACCATCCCCTCACATATTAGCGAGTTGAGTCTCTTAAGACAGACTTTTCTAATACAGAAGTCACGAGTAGAGGAATGAAGAGAAACTTGTATAAAAATAAAAGAAGCTCTGTTGATTCCACAGTTTAAACCTCCTATTAATCGAAATCCTGGTTACAGAATCACATACTTACGTCACTCGAACGTCACATGACTTTTATTTGTGTTTATGACGTTTTTTCCGCTTATATATTGTTCCTGATGGAGTTAGCGTTAATTTCAATGACACTTTGAAGCTTTTGTAATTTATGTTAATTTTTTTATATATTTTACTATTATTTTTATCACAGGCAGCAGAACCGAAGGGGCCCTGGGGACACGTGCCCCCACTTTTGTAGCAGAGTAGTATAAAAATTTTTCTTCAAAATATAAAAATTGTAACATTAAGAATATAATAAAATCGGTAAAACAGCATGAAGAGCCTATAAAGGTAAGGTGGGTTGTAGTTTTTAGTATTCTTACTGGCTCGGCCCGGCATGGCCAAGTGGTTAGGGCGCTCGACTCGCAATCTGAGGGTCTCGGGTTCGAATCTCCGTCCCACCAAACATGCTCGCCCTTTCAGCCGTAGGGGCGTTATAATATGTGACGGTCAATCCCACTATTCGTTAGTAAAAGAGTAGCCCAAGAGTTGGCAGTGGGTGGTGATGACTAGCTGCCTTCCCTCTAGCCTTTCACTGCTAAATTAGGGACGGCTAGCACAGATAGCTCTCGTGTAGCTTTGCGCGAAATTCATAACAAATCAATCTTACTGGCTCGATTTAAATTGGAATTTCTTTTTGACAGATCAGTAGCAATGTGTCCTTCGAAGATTGTACCTTTCAGATTCAATATGCTTCAGCTGTCCATACGTTTGTTTTCGCCTCAGTTGAAAGCTACACACATGGGAAAGATTACCCAAAAGTAAAATGTTCAGTAGCAGTTGATGGAGTATGGAGATATTCAAATATAGAATTCAAACAATTTCTCCAGTCAAGACTAACAAAAAATATTTCAGTAGGCTATGTGATATAAAAAACAACATTATTGTCAGATGACTACTGAAAATTTTATGTTTTGGAATGCAAGTGCAGTTTGATGTAAGGCTTCTAGGATTTAATTTAGGGGTAATCTTGTCGACATGAGCTAAGAAGGCTTTAAAACCTTATCACATTATGTTCTTAAGTACGTGGCAAATGTTCATTAATTAAAGAGACTTGTTAACGCTGTTACACGCGACTTTCAAGCATTTCAACTGTTTTACACCAGATGACCAGTTACAGAAGCAAATAATCTAAAAATTAACGATTTTCTGCAACCTTGTGTGTCAATTGACAAGATATATCCTGAGAAATACTGATAATATATTTTAAAAAGATTCCAATCAACCATATCTACTTGTTTTTCCAAAATATGCGTCAGACAAATATAGATTACTTTCTATAGACGGGCTTTTTTATATAAATATATGTACTTTTTAAACTAATATCCATAGCTTTGATAAACCTGAGAATTTCTAACTCGATCGAGAAATTACGTCTTTTTCGTTTTTATTCTCTTTTAAGTAAGTTCATGACTCCGAGCGACCTCTAGTGACTATAAAAAGTCTATTTCTAGCTTCCTGCTAACACAGATTAGATTGTAAGAAAGATTTCCTGGATTATTTATCTTTTGTTTAATTTTACATTCTCCCCAGCGTCTTCCTGGACTTTTTATTTTTTCCGTTCTTCTAAGTTGAATCACTTACACGTTTGTCATTTTAGGTTTTCAGTTTTCTATAATTGTCATTACTGTAGTAAGTCTTATTCGATGACGAGGAACCCACTTTGAGACTAATAATGGTTGGAGACGGCTTGAATGGGTAATGAAGAAAACTTTAATATAAGTTTAACATAACAGCAAATGTACAACGTTTCGACAAGGTTTTGTCATCATCGGGTCATTTGCTGTTATTTTAAACTTATATTAAAGTTTTTCTTCATTACCCATTCAAGCCGTCTCCAACCATTATTTGTAGTAAGTCTTCTTCATGTCAATGCTTCCATCTCTTATTATGGCACATTTTTGTCATTATTATTATTCAAATTCTATTTTTATCATATACTTGTTTGTATAAATTGTGTTTGTATGAAAATTTGTTATTTTGTCACTAACATCATATATGTGTGTGAGAGAGAAAAACATTTTCTTTGGCGCATGCGTAAAGACCCCTTCATAAGCAGTCGGAAGTCATCTTCAACCCTTTATCCATCCGAGACGGTGTTCCTTTTTAAAAACATCCAAGGCAATGAAAATCTGACAATCGCTCTTTTTGTTTTCTCAGACATAGGATATCAGATCAAACAAATACTTCTTCCAGGAAAATACGAAACGAGACAAACCTAAATAGTACTTTCATGAAACTGGTCATGCGAAACGTTAACAAAAGAAAACTGACGCCACTTGAATTCATAAACTGTAAGCTTGTAAATGTTGATAACAAGTATGTTCCCAGCATCACTCTAACATTAAATTCTACAAATGTAAACATGTGAACTTATTGCAAAGTATCTGCTTAGCATCTCCAGAAGAGAAACTTTTTCAAATACAAACAAGTGAACGTTGGTCAAGAAATGTCTATTTAATATTTCTATAACATGCATATTATTCAACTATGAACACGCGAACGATTATAATGTTTTATTTACTTGAATATAAGAACAAAGGTAAAGAGAACGAATAAGCTCGGTATAGTGAACGACTCCCTCCATTGTTTGTACATAAGATCAACAGATGTTAGTGAACAACCCCTTCCATAGTTTCAACATAACACCAACAGATGTTAGTGAACGACTCTCTCCACTGTTTCTATCTGTTGGCGTTATGTAGAAACAGTGGAGGGAGTCGTTCACTAACATCTGTTGGTGTTATGCGTTAGTGAACAACCCCTTCCATAGTTTCAACATAACACCAACAGATGTTAGTGAACAACCCCTTCCATAGTTTCTACATAACACCAACAGATGTTAGTGAACGACTCCCTCCACTGTTTCTACATAACACCAACAGATGTTAGTGAACAACCCCTTCCATCGTTTCTACATAACACCAACAGATGTTAGTAAACGACTCCTTCCATAGTTTCTACATAACGCCAACAGATGTTTGTAAATGACTCCATCCACTGTTTGTACATAAGGATCAACAGATGTTAGTGAACGACTCCATCCATTATTTGTACATAACACCAACAGATGTTAGTGAACGACTCCCTCTATTGTTTCTACATAACACCAATAGATGTTATTGAAAGATTCCTTCCACATAACACCAACAGATGTTAATGAACAACTTTTTCCACTGTTTCTACATAACAATCAACACCAACAGATGTTAATGAACAACTTTTTCCACTGTTTCTACATAACAATCAACACTAACAGATGTTAATGAACAACTTTTTCCACTGTTTCTACATAACAATCAACACCAACAGATGTTTGAAACAATCTACATTTATTCACGTGCATATGTTCTACACATTATAAGATTAGGAAAACAGACGAAACATAAAGGTTTTAAGTATTTTTTTCTTCTTTCCTACGATTTCTACCTGAGCAACTCATTTTTATTTGATTTAGCCGAATATACGAAAAAAATCCTCAAAGAAACATTTGTACACTTGTACATTTGTCATTATGATAATCACCCTTTCCCTTTCGTAGTTGAAATTAACCCAATTTACATACAAAAACGCAGCCTCAACGAAATATACGTCAACACTGAGTTGTTGGTCTAGAGCGTTGGAAAAACAACAATAATAATTAAATTAGGTAGATCAAGCGTCTGTGATGTTTGAACTTTGACACCACCGATTTTGACAAATGTCCGAAATGCATCAACGCAACTTAACAAAACTTTAAGTTAATAAAATGATATGTACGCAGTAGTTGTCACGCACAACATGATAACGCCGTATTGTTTCCACACTCATTTCGATATTTTCAACAAGAAAAAATAACACTCACTTGGACGGTAGAGTTTTTTGATACAGTAGCTCGTACTGCATCAAGGTAATAAATAAAACAAAACAAACGCGATTTTGGTAGTTTTTGGGTCAAACCTCAGTGTCAAATATATTTACTGAATTAGAGATAAATTCGTCACACTCTTATTGAGAGTAAACGGCAAGGCCTTGAAGATCTCTTAATCTTAGGGACTTCCCGCCGATAGTCTTTATCACAAAAGCTACGCTAACAAACTGGCCATTCAGCTAATACGTATCTCTGTCAGGATTACTGGGTGGTCTGTCCTTGGTAAAATGACTGTATTGTAGCGTATGCATTCTGTCCAGGATAGAGAGGACGAGGTAACACAGGGCGGCTACTCAGAGCATGCGCAGTTGAGGCCTGTCTTTGGTAGAGCTCTAAAGTTGAAGGACCACCGGAAGAAGCTAAGCCGCTATTGGTCAGTCCGGAGAGAGTAGATATAGTGGATAGGTAATTACTATAACTGTACGGCCATAGCGGTGAAGGAGTCGGACCCCACAGTCGAGGAAACCGACTGAATGCAGCACCATCTGTCGGAAGAAGTTCTAACCCCATCATTGCCTGTCTTTTCCATTTCGTCCTGAAATAAAAAATATATATATATAATTGTTTTGCAAACATTGTTGAAAGTTACCAAACAACAACAACAAAAAAGAAACACTATCTATATTTCATGAAAGAAATATATATATATATAGTGTTGAAAAAAGGAAAAAGAAATCTCAACGTTTTTGTCTTTGCTGTACCTGCATAGATATTATAGTATAAGCTGATATGCACATATATACATATATATATACTTTTCGAAATTTAATATTTTTTTAATCATTTTATAAAAATGAAAAATATATCTACACACTAGCTGGAGTACCCGTCGTCTGGACGAAAGTTATGTAAATTCATGATTATTGTAAGGTTATCTTAGGACAGGAAAAGTTGCTTCCCTTATACCTAATTGTACAAAAACGCCCATAAAAAACTGCAAAACACAAAATGCAAAACCACAAGTTTGTATGTATCTTTGCATGGATCCAACAAACCTTCATGCCAAATTTAGTGAAGGTTCAAAAATGCAAAAACGCCCATAAAAACCGCAAAACACAAAATTCAAAATTCAAAATTTGTATGTACTTCTGCATGGACCTAGAGAACCTCCATACCAATTTTGGTAAAGATCCATCTACACCCTGCGAAGTAGTTTCATGGACAGACAACAGACAGTACTATAATATTTATATAGATAGTATCCACAGAAATAAATAAATAAATATGATTGTCATGACATAAAATACTGTTCAGTTTAGATATTTTTGATTAATTTATTTTGTGAGTGGATATTTTATTGTTGTTTAATTTTTGTTATAATGAGAGTTAAAAGCAGACGATTGTAGGAAGTTGTGTTTATAATTCATTGATGTTGAGACTATCGAGTGTCTCGAGCAATACACTGACGTCGAGAATATAGAGATTTCTAGAAGGCAAACAGACGATTAAGTGATAAACATATAAATAGTGTGAAACGAACGAAAATAGCAGACAGACAATACAATAAGAGAGTAAAGTTATGGGCAAAGAAAAGTTCGGCGTGAAGTTAACTACCGTAGAAATGATAAGCCTAACGATTGACATAGGCCTAGCGTTTAATATGTTAGAGTTAGACTAACAGAAAAGGAGATAAGAAAAATAATTTATTACGTCAAAGCGTAGTTCTAAAGTAAGTGAATCAGACTAAGTGCACTTTGACAAAAGGAACAAAAGATATTTAGAAGAAAGAAGACCAAATGATTACGGTAACTCGCGCTACAATTGTAAGTGAATCACACACAGAATACTAGAGCGATAGTAATAGAGATGATAGTTCGGCTTCTCAACTGAAATTCTAAAGCAATTGAATGGGCCTAAGTGGACTTTAGAAAAGAAGAAGAGAACTATATATAAATAGTGTTTATGACATGCCTCTAATCTCTATAGTGTGGAGAATTTGGTGTACATACGTTTAACTTATTCTGAATATTATTTTGAAAACAAGTGAAGTGCGTGCTGTTCATTTATAGTTTAATTTATCGTCAACAAGTCACAGACACCTACTGTAGAAGAATCCTAAGCACAACAACACAGTTTATATTTATACTATTATGAAGTGTAAATAAAAGCTTTTTATTTTGACAATTGGCAAAATAATTATATTTTAAATTCTGACAATGATAAATATTTCTTACCTTATTTTCTGGTAGGCAAACTTTGCTTGTTTGGTTTATTGGTGTAAAGTATCCATAGAAATTATAAAACAATATCTATACATTCTGATAAACTTTCTGTTATAGTAGTTTCTTTGGTGAATTTTGCTCAAAGTTTGAAGTGGTAGGCTAAAAGAAAGGCAACATCACCCACCGCCAACTCTTAGACCACTTTTAAGGAACAAATAGTAATATTGACCGTCACATTATAACGCACCAAAGGCTGAAAAGGCGAGCATGTTTGGCGACGGTATACGATCCCGTGAGACGCAGATTGAGAATCGAACGCCCTGACCACCAAGCCATGAAAATTGGACTGTTATTGCATAATATCAACTTTGTTCATCTGAACGACATCTTAAGCACAAAGTTTGGTTTAGAAATAGCCGTTTCTGATTTTGAACTGAGGAACAAATGAAAGGCAAACAACTAGTCAGCAGCACTCGTCGCCTAAAGCAGTTACAGGGTAGCGAAATTAAATGTCACTCTTATAATGTAAAAAAGAGGTGAAAGTACGAAGAATATTTAGTAGAACATGTTTCGAATCCGAGACTCTTGAATCCCCACTTCAATACTATCTACATAAAAAAAACAATAATAAAACACATAAAAGAATTACTAACCTTCTGTTTTGGTACCAAGTCTTGACTTGTGTATCAGTTAGGTTTAATTTTGAGGCTAGCTCCATGCGGTCCTGAACACTTAGGTACTTCTGTCGTTCGAAGCTTTTTTCTAGAGTCTAGAAAAGGGAGTATTGGTTGAAGGGATTAATAGTAAAGACACTTTCTGTTGTAAATAACATTTTGCGTTTTATACATTTTACATTTGTAATTCGTATTCTCTCATTGTACATTAACATAAGTAATCTAGATATTGTAATCATTCCATACCTTATAAACTTATAATTCATATTCTGTCATTACACTCTGACATAAGTAATCTAGATGTTGTAACCGTTTCATACTTTATAAATGTTTAATTTGTTTCCTTCATTAAACTCTGACATAAGTAATCTAGATATTGTAACCGTTTCATACTTTATAAATGTTTAATTTGTTTCCTTCATTAAACTCTGACATAAGTAATCTAGATGTTGTAACCGTTTCATACTTTATAAATGTTTAATTTGTTTCCTTCATTAAACTCTGTCATAAGTAATCTAGATATTGTAACCGTTTCATACTTTATAAATGTTTAATTTGTTTCCTTCATTAAACTCTGACATAAGTAATCTAGATGTTGTAACCGTTTCATACCTTATAAATGTTTAATTTGTTTCCTCCATTAAACTCTGACATAAGTAATCTAGATATTGCAACCGTTTCATACTTTATAAATGTTTAATTTGTTTCCTTCATTAAACTCTGACATAAGTAATCTAGATATTGTAACCGTTTCATACTTTATAAATGTTTAATTTGTTTCATTCATTAAACTCTGACATAAGTAATCTAGATGTTGTCACCGTTGAGTCCAGTTATTTGAATGTCTCAGTCATCTTATATGGTAACAACCTTAAGACAATAAGGAATCAAACATGAGGTCATATTTAGTTTCGGCATTGTGATAACCACTTCTTTTACGTGTTCTGACTTGGCAACTGCAGCCTTATTTTCTAGCCCTGCTTCCAATGTATTTAAACAACTATTGGTAACATTTTTAGAATTGTTCGTTTGATTTTTCAATCGAAAAATTGTTCGCTCTACCACTTTAATTTAAAAGTGTCCCATTGGCAGGTCTGTGCGATAATGAAAGCCTATTTCTACTTATCAGATAAACGACGCTGATAGTTAACAAATAAAGACAAACAAAAAACCCAACAGTGTGGACTTTAACATAAATGTAACAGCTGTAGCAGGTAAGTAACAGATAGGAACACTGAAGGCTGATTGTAAGCCAACACGATTAACACCAAACAAGTCTGGTAACTTTACCAACAACACATCGTAAGGGGACTCCCGGTGGGTCAGTGGTAAGTTTACGGACTTACATCGCTAATATCCGGCGTTTAATCAGCCGTGGCGGACAGAGCACTGGTAAATTATTGTGTGGCATTGCGCAATAGGAAACAAATAAAATCACACGTAATCAAAGTACCTCTTGAAAAACTTCTGAAGAGATTTCAAATGCTCATACAGACATCATGCAATATAACGATTTAAACAGTGCATAAAGTTGCACAACGTATTCCATATGACTAGCAAAAAAAGTTGCACAACGTGTTCCATAAGACTAGCAAAAAAAGTTGCACAGCGTATTCCATATGACTAGCAAAAAAGTTGCACAACGTATTCCATATGACTAACCTATCATCAGGGGCGCTAACAGCAAAAATATGGGGGTGGGGATCTACCTAACTTCACCAGTTCTCACAGCAAGGCCC